ATTTTTCTCACTGCGTTCGAAAAATAAGTCGTGCCACCTTCTAGTTAAAAATCCCGTTTTCACCCGGTATTATGCGGTTTCCTGGCACTTTTTTCTTGGATTTTAAACGGCAAAAAAAAGCGTAGTTCTCCCCCGCTCCTATTCGGAAACTAAAAAAAAGCACTAAAACAAAAATGAGTTGTGGTTCTCCTAGTAGTTTCTCATTTTCAGAAGTTAAGAGTCAGGTTTGTCTTGTTTCCACCGGCAATATCGTGAAGAATCAATTAGATATTGCCAATTTACCTAACGGTAGTTAATAACAACTTCGTTTTTGGCGATCCTCAGAGTGGCTTTTATCCGCTGGCTCACGGTTATTCGCGTCCGACTAGTAGTTATGTTGGTGAATATACTAGTTTGGGGTCTATTCTCCCCGCGGACCTAAGCTCTTTATTAATCTCTCCAACCCGGCTAACTATCTTATGCTAAGCGTGTTGCGAAAACTAATGAGAGTCAAGTTTTCAAAAAATAAAAAAGAAACGGGTTAATTTGAAAACCCGGAAAAATGGTGCGTGATGGAGGAAGTTTTTATTCCCCAATTCGAGAGCAATTTTAGTTAGAAAAAAAACTCGATTGTGATCGCAGAAGGGAAAATTTTCTTCGCTCATAAAAGTTTTTAAACCCTTCATTTTCGCAATTTTAGGGCTTTAAATGGCTAGCAAATTCCCTTATTAATTCGTATCCAGAAAATTTCTCGTCAATTTGGGCCAAAAAAGTAGGAAAAAATGCATTTTTTTTCTGGATTAAAAATTTCGTCCGGGTTAGCACCAACAAAGATAACTACTATACCTTAAATATGGTAGAGCAAGAACAGCACGCTGTTGACAAATTAATTAGTAGTGTGAAGCAAAGAGACCCCCAACAGGAAAAATACGTGCTTCGCTTTGTTCACGAATGAATGCAAGCTATCAATAAAGCCCCACCACTTAGTCTTTATGAAATTGAGCAATCAATAAGATTTGTTTGAGCCAACAAGTGAGCAATGGGTTCGCCAAGTCAAACGGATTATCGAAAATACATTCAGGAAGAGGAAATAAAAGAGTTTATTAAAGATGTACAGTTGGGTATACAAGAGGAAGAAGAATCTGATAAGAAAGTTAAATAGAAGGAATTAGTTAACTGTAAAAAATTTGAAAACACAAATGAAAGGATGGAAAACACTATTATTCAAAATGTTGCGAAAAGATATGAGAAAAGGAACCAATAAAAACTAAACCTAGTCATCTCTTTTCGTTATTAAAGAATTTGCAAATACCTTTCTTCGGTTTTTTTTAGCAAGTCAATAGTTCACTTTTGATAATTAATCATTAGCATTACTTCTTCTCTTTCTTGAATTATTTTTTGTTGCTTTTCACAACTGGGGAGCGGCACTTTTAGGTCTTTTAAAGAGTCAGCGTTAAATTGGGGCTGCACCGTGCCTTTGGT